GTTCTCGATATCACAAGAGTGTTTTTGTAAGGAGCTGAACCCAGCTTGCAGTTGTACCTTAGTGGAACACCGGGGGCTCCACATTAGCACTCCTGGTAGTTCATTGTCGGATCCGGAGGGGAGAGCGAGGGGGGCCGGGGGGAGAGGGGGACGATGGATTTTTCGCTCCCCTCCCCCCAGCAGCACAGGTAACAGTGCTAAAAGTAGAGAAAAATCTCTTCGATGTCCCTTGTCGCGCCTTCAGAACCTCCAGTTTCTCCCCTCCAGCCGCTGTCGCTAGAAGCAATGAGCCGGAGCAGGGGGAGGGGAGTAAGGTCCCTTACTTAGTGATAAACCGGGGAGAGAGGGAAGGGGGAGGAGGAAAATAGCCTAGGTCCCCCCTCTTCTCCCTCCCCCAGAAACCGTCCTGGGTCCACCTGTTGGGTAGTCTAATGTGTGAGATTTAATGAAAACTTTTGCTGTTTATATTATTCGTCAGCATTTTACTGATCAACTTTTTCGTTGTAGGTGATATTTTGTCAGCATTCAAAGAGGTATGTGGTGGACATGGACGTTGTGATTACAGTGAAGCGCTTTTTTTGTGCATCAAGCGAATAACATCACGATCGTACGTATATTTTTTGATTTTTATAAAAAAAAAAAGAAAAAAAAAAACGAGAAAGTAAGTCATTGCAAAAGCAAAAGAAAAATTTTGACATTCATGCAACCTGTCACATTTTGTTCCTTTCCTTCTTGTAGTGCCAATTGTACTTGGTAATTTGCTGGAGTTTCAAAAGCGGAATTCCATAAACTGCATAAAATATAAATAATAATATAAAATACCAAAAATATAATATAAAATTCAAAGGAATCCGAAAATAAAATGCAATATAATACAAAAAAATATGGAATATATAAAATACAATATACAATAAAATAAAAATATTACATGATATATAAAACATAATATGAAATATAAAAAAAGTAATAAAATATGACGAAAATCTAAAATAAAATATAATGTGATGAAAATATAATATGTAAAATATAATTTAAAATATAAGCTGAAGTTTGGGAATTCCTTAGGGAACGGAGAAAAAGAAGCAAAAAATTGAATGATGGTGGTACTGAAAATTTGAAAATTGAAAATTTGAAAACTTAAAATCTGTGAAAATTCGAATTATTTGCAGGCCTCACTTTCAAAAACGAGTGGTTTATCTGTTTACAAATGATGTGCAACCATTTGGCAACAATCGACAGCACTGTATTGCTGCATGTAAAAATGCTGATGATCTTCGCAGTCACAATGCTGAATTTTCGGTCTATCCGCTGATTCCTGAGGACCACGTATTTGTTTCCACTATTTTGGTATGGAATTGCTGCAAAATTTTTAATTTTTTTTTACTGAGATTTGCTATAATTCGGGCTACTTCTCAAGTGCTTCCTCTTCTCGCTAACAGTGAATAGAGAGAAGGTTTTTGACTTTACCCTGATGATCGAGGAATTAAAAACCTAGTTAGTGCGATTTTCTCATGAAAGCTGTCTCCTCATAACTTCACAAAATTCCTATCCTTATCATATGTTAGTTTCCTCCTCTTCCGCCTGCTCTATCACTCCTACTTCTTTCATGACATATTTTCTCTCCTTCTTACTCCCTTTATCCTTTCCTTTCACTCATCCTTTTAGCAAATTAGTTACATGTCCTTTCAATACATGGCGAGTAGGAGGCTGTACTGACGATTCCCACTCCTACCCACATGCATAGTCCGGTCTGTGTTTACAGCTAAGGGATGAAACACAGATGGCTGCACCGTAAAATATCACCCCACTACATCTAAAAGATAAAGGCAGTTTGCACCATAAAATAACACCTTACACATAGCCTGCGTACAATCCTTTTGGTCTATTATTTTAATCTTTTAACAAAAATCTCGTAAATTAGATGTTTTTTTTTTGTAATCTTATATTGTATTAGAATTTGCTATCGTTCGGGCTTCTTCTCTCACTAACAGTGGGTAGAGAGATTTTTTTTAACTTTTGTCAGAAATCCCATAAACTATAAGGTTTTTTTGTGATTGTAAACTTTTTCATAACAGCTCGGCTTTCATGCTACTTCCCAAGTGCTTCCTCTTCTCGCTAACAGTTAATAGAGAGAAAGTTTTTGACGTTAATCTTTTGAGAGAAATCTCATAAATTAGATGTATTTTTTTGAAAAAGTAAACTTTTTCATAACAATCTGACTAAATTTTATTTTTTTCTTTGAACAAAAATCTCGTGAATTGGATAGCCTTTTTTTTGTAATTGTGATTTTTTATCACGATAATCTTGCTTAATTTAATTTTTTTTTGGGATAGATTCTTCTTTCATGTATTTTGTTCAGTGCTTGGAAGAGCACGTTATCTTCTCAGCTCTGATTAGACCTAGCTGTACAATTTGCATTTAAATATGGGCAATCTTTCCGTAGTAAGCTCATGGTGGTACGTATCTGTCAGTAGTACATTAGTACGGCCTATTTCCAAAAATATTAGTTTTGGCTTTCATTCTGCCCCAATTCTTTCCTTTTTTTTTTCTATGATTCTAATCGCAATTCTAATTTTTTATTGTTTTTTTTTCATTTATTTTAGGAACAGCTGGATCCAAATGTACAGAAAAATTTCGAAAATATCAGTGAACTGGAAAATGAGTTAGTTTTTGAGCGTTTCCATTTTTCTTCAATTTCTTCGCCTTGTGACTGTTTTTCAGAATATATTGACGCATTTGCTTTAATTATTTGTTGATTGGTCTTCCAATAACTTTCATAGATGCAGAATATAATGAAAAAAAAAAAAGCTGGCATATATAAGGGGATTTATTTTGCAGCATTCCAAGAAAGCAGTATGCACGACGAAATATTGCTGGTTTGGATTTTGAGATTGGAAATGGTGTGAAATTTTCTGTCGGAATGTATGCCTTTTTCTTTTACAAATGCACAAGTATTTCCTTGTAGGATTCCTGTAATTATAGTTTTCGTTTAGCTACGCATTGCTGGGTACCGAAAAACTGCCGCAACCGATTGTT